ACAACTTGGAAGAAACGAAACGAAATGAAATTGTGAAAAAAGGAAGTATCGAAGTGGATGGATCGAAAAGCCAAGTTAGTTTGAGAGAGCCCAAATTGAAGGAATCCAATATGAGGAGCGGAAAGTAGAATTGGATGGCAGAGATGAGAAGGCACAAGCACCGGGAATAGCAATAAAACTTTGCAACGTTATTTCCGCGGTAACAGAGAGCTATCATCATTCATCATGACTTTAAAAGGAAAATAAAACGAAAGCCATGGGTCCAATATAACACTAGGGGTGTATTTTCAAAAAAAAGAATGACATTAGGGGTGGAAATCATACGGTGTTATTGGTTGGATATTACTTTTTTTTCCTAAACTTTTTTTTTATATCTTTATTTATGTATTTTTATATTTTACTATAAAATAAAAATAATTTTTTTTTCTTAATATATTTTTTTATCAATAGACTTTTTTTTATACATTTATTAAAAAAAAAATTTTTTTATGAATCTGTCTATCATATGTTCAAAAAATATAAGATAAAACTTAATTATTAAGTAATAATTATCAAAATTTTCTTTAAAATGTGAGATTTTAAATTAAAAAATAAATCTTGCTCTCAATTTCAAAATGAACTAATTAAAAACTAACACATGACATTTACAATTAAAACAAAAATCAAGCCAACCGGGCCTGTGGCCCAATTGGTTGACCCCCAAGCTTTAGGGTTTGGGTGAGGTGGAGGTCAGGCTTCAAGCTCTGCCATCGCCGTGAACTCCACCAACTTGCGACCTAATGGTCGCGCGCCTCAAATGAAGGGTGGAATGTTCACTTTCCTGGAAAAATTCCAGCTGCTAACAAACTAACTCTACTAACTTCCTAACCATTTACCTGGTCAAAAAAAAAAAATTAAAACAAAAATCAATTTTATTATATTTAAGATAAAAATACCACAATAATTATATAATTATTACTTTTTATCATGTACCTTAAAAAGCACAAGATATATAAATTATTTTATATATATATATATATAGGAGTGGCTTAGAGCTATTAAAATCCCTGAACTTATCAGAAAGGTTCATTATCATCCTTGTACCAAAAAAAGGATTCATAAAAATCCTTGAACTTTGGTAAAGAAGCCAAGCATGGTCCCTCCATCAATAGCCGTTAACCAGAGTGCTCAGGGTGCTAACGGTTGCTTGGATTACGCTAATGGAGTGCTGACATCGCATTCAAAATACCTTTTTAACCTTTCACGTGTTAAAAGAATGAAAGGGCAAAATGATAATTAAACTTATAGAAATTTATTAGAATGAGATTAAGAAAAATAAATGATATTGCCCAGCTTCTATTAGTGAAGTTTTTGCGCTTTTGAGCAACAGAATAATACTACTAGGAGAATATTTATTTACATATAAATTTTATAAAATAAAATGAGTATTAATTTATATTATAAAAAATAAGTAAAAAATATCTTAAAATTACAT